TCAAGGTTTATGTGTCAAATCGAGTTGCAGAAATACAGGAAAATATCCCACCTTCATTTTGGCAACATATTTCATCACTAGAAAATCCAGCGGATGTTGGGTCAAGGGGTACCGCCCCACAAGATTTGATTAACCACACACTTTGGTGGAATGGACCTGTCTGGTTGTGTAACTCTGAAGAAAATTGGCCAAAGTCTGTCTGTAAATCTTTACCTGAAGAGTCTATCCCTGAAACTAAGATTCTCACAGTTAACACTCTCTCTGCTGTTCTGGATGAACCATTTTCTCTCCTCACTCGCTTCTCATCTTGGACAACACTACTTCATGTTTCCGCATACCTGCTGCGCTTCATTCATAACACCAGAAATAAAGTTAAACAAATTGGGAATTTAACTTCTCAGGAGATAAAAGAGGCTCATAACCTGATTTGTAAATTGGTTCAACGAGAATATTTTTCTGAAGAAATCTCATGTTTGAAATCCAATAAACCTTGCTCTGTACGCATTAGACGCCTAGCTCCTTATCTGGATAAAGATGGCCTCATTCGAGTAGGGGGAAGAATAAACAAGGCTGATATCTCTGAAGATCACAAACACCCCGTCTTGCTACCTAAAGGTCATAGGTTAGTTGATATTTTGATTGACCACCATCATGTCTTATATTTGCACTCTGGTCCAACTCTAACTCAGGCTATGCTGGCAAACAAGTACTGGATTCTCAGTGCTAGAAGCTTAATAAGATCTAGGATCTTTAAATGCATAAAATGTTTCAGATGTAAACCTCCTCATTCTTCTCCACTCATGGGGGAATTACCTATGAATCGAGTTACACCTTCAAGGCCATTTTCCATATCTGGTGTAGATTATGCAGGACACTTCTTTGTGAAGCAACATCTACTAAGACGAGTTCAACCTATCAAGGTTTATATTTGTATATTTATTTGCTTCTCTACTAAGGCGGTACACATAGAAGTAGTAACCGACCTAACAGCGGATGCCTATTTAGCCGCTCTTACCAGATTTGTCTCCAGACGAGGAATCGTTTCAGATATTCACTGTGACAATGCTACAAATTTCACAGGTGCATCCGAAAAACTCAGACGCAACTTTGAAAATTTAATCAAGGATTCCACAGTACAATGCTACGCTGAGAATTTCAATATTAAATTTCACTTCTTACCTCCACATGCACCTCATCAGGGAGGCCTTTGGGAGAGGGCCGTCAAAAGTGTGAAATTTCACCTAATAAGAGTCATTGGACAACAGACCCTGTCACTGGAAGAGTTTTCGACTTTAATCACCCGTATTGAAGGAATGATGAACTCTAGGCCTATAACTCCTCTTTCTTCTGATCCCTCGGACCTAGAAGCTTTGACGCCAGGTCATTTTTTAGTAGGTGGTCCTCTTATGACACCTCTTGAACCTGACTTGCGTAGCATTCCTATCAACCGATTAAAACGCTGGCAGTTAGTCCAACAGTTCAGTCAACATATCTGGGCTCGCTGGCAGAAAGAGTATCTGTACACTCTTCAAGAGAGAAATAAATGGGTCAACCCCAAGAAGAATATTGAAGTCAATGACTTGGTTGTCATTCATGAAGACAACTTGCCTCCACGCTCCTGGAAGCTTGGACGAGTTCTCTCCGTTTCACCTGGTACTGATGGAATAGTACGGGTCGTGCACCTGAAGACCGCAAGTGGACACCTCTCTCGTCCTGTGACAAAGGTGTCTGTCCTTCCTATGGAATAGTGAAGAGGAGTTACCACCCCCCTTTTTTATTGATTTTCTCATTTTTTGTGTTGTTTTCAGAACCCAGGGGTTCAGGGGGGGCCGGTATGTTAAATATTTAGTAATTCAACTAAGGACATTTAATAAAATATTTATTTAATAACATATGAACTATATACAGTCAAATATAAACAATTAATCAAGTAGTATTAACATTCAAGTCAAGTTTTTAGTTCAGTTATTGAAAGGATACAACAGCTGATATGATGACATCACTGTCCAAAGTTCACTACAGCACTTCGTACTAGTCAGTTCAGTTTAGACTCACCTCTCTCACAGTACACAGTTACCTTTTGGTTTAGTTCATATTAAATATTTTAATCTCTCTTTCTCTCTTACCGCTCCAAGTGCATTATTTCATCATTTCTCATTTAAATATGGATTCCAAATTTATAGTACCAAGTGTCAAGCTAGGATCCAAGAAGATATTTTTATTTAAAGTAAATGTGTTGTAAATTTTCGTGTACAGTCCAGAATATTCATGAGTAGTGAATTGCTTTCTTTTTATTAATGAAGAAGAGTTTTAATTTAAATCAGTGAAGAATTACATACTACACAACAATAGTCATTTCTCAACATCATCTTTCATCTGTGGTCCTTCGATTCTCGTCACTCTGGCCAGAGCCATCGCTTCTCTGCTCATCTTGTTCCTGTTCTACCAAAACCCTAATGGATCTTCAGTTTTAGGATCTAAAGGTATTTCTCACAATTTTACCTCTTAATACCATATTTAACACTCATAAAATTTCGAGACGAGATCGAGACGAGATTTCTCTTTTCATACACAACAGGAAATGCACGTTCGAAATTTTTACCTGATTTTGTAACATTGTTAGTTGACTGTTTAAATACTAAAATAATGATAATAGGCAAGAATATTTACAATCTTTCATTAAATAACATCAGCATAACATTTTTTTATTAATCACGCCTAACTTATTAAAAATGCCTACGATTAGGAAACATGGTGATATCAGTTAGGATAGAGTTCAACTTATCCTAAAATAAAATAAATCATAAAATTAAAGCAATATTAATTTTTATAAAATAGTTACTTGTTTTGACTTTTTTTATAGTAATAAAACATTCCTCACACTGCTTACACTTAACAAAACTTCTCAAATGTTATTAAAGTAATATTATTAAAATAATGAAAGTAATATTTACATTAAAAGAATTAATTAAATAAGAATGCCTTCGCAAAGGAAACGCAACTACAACACGCTCCTGTATTGCGGGTATTGCATTGACTTTCTGCAGGCGTTTTTAATTTTTTTTTTTTTTTTTTTATTCTCGTCTCGTTAAACGAGATTGAAAATTTCCCGAAATTTCGAGACTTGACCATCCCTAATAATGACAAACATAATCAATTTGCAGTCTTTATTGCACTGTTCTATAATAACCAACAAGTGTAAAAATAGGTTAGAAAATAACCCAAAACATCATATTTGGTACAATTGAACTGTCTTCTGTGCTAATTATCATCTCTGATATCAGACACATCAACATTGTTTCCTGTAATAGCGGCAAAATTTTGATCGTCCCCCACAATCTTATCTAACAGGCTAAAAATAAATACAATCTTGTCTGTTGATTGGGAATGTATTTTTCCTTAAATTTCAGGACCCGTTCATCAGAACTAAAAATAATGTTTTATTCATATGTTGGAAATAAATCTCAGTATATTTCAGATTAGTGTTAGGCCTACAGTAATTGTTTTAAATTAGTGCTTTTGATGTAATGAGTAAACTTAAAGGAGTTTTAAATGTCAACTATATATTGTAAAGTTACCACAAATGATTAACTATGTACCTTAAAATGTTTGAACCTTCACATGGTCCTTTGAACATGAAACTATTTATATGGGCCTACTACTTTTATCTGGGCCAAATTTATGTTAAATAATGCTAAACTTCTTTTTTGGTTTCAAAGTGGGTTTTTTTTCATAATGTTGTAAACATTTAATAGGTAATTTAGTCAGCACTAGCTAAAACCAATCACCAAACATATTATAATGTGTATACTATTGCAAGGTGTTGTAATGGGAGGAACACATACATTGATTGATTTTTATTATGAAATATGTTTACGCTCTTACGAACAATGTACTTAGATCAATAAAATATGTAATTTATCCAGTTTATTAATCCTGCTTAACTGAACACTCAAAGATAGTTTTAGATGAAGTCATGTCCTTCTTTGACACATTAAAAGTCTCTCTTTGAAGCAGACATAGTGTCCTTAGAACCAGCAGCAATTTCTTTAGTACTTCAACTTGTAGATGATTTCTGTGGTTCACACCGTATGAGGATGACCAGACGTTTTAAGTGCTTTTTTGATACTTACTTACACACACAGTTTTACAGATAGAAGTTAACCCATTGAATTAATGTATTGCGGCCAGCAACCAAATCGTTCCGCAGAACATGATTGAACCGTGTTAAAAACGGATGATGAACTGTGATAGCAAATTCATTACTTACTTACTTACCATGGCCACGCATATCTAAGGAGACATTTTGCCGCACCAACAACACCCCTCCGTCTTTCTATATCTTGTGCGTCTTCCTTGGTTGCTCAAGGTCTCCGGCTTTCCTCTCGGCCGTCTTCCTTGGAGATTTCTTATTAAGATGTGTTTCATATTATCACCCTCCTCTCTTCTCATAACGTGCCCAGCCCATCTAATTCTTCTACATTTAAATTCACAAACCACATTTAAATCCTTGTAGAGTTGTCTCAATTCCCTATTATGTCTTCAACTCCACTCTCCTTCTTCTAAAATTGGGCCATAAATCTTTCTTAGAATCTTATTTTTAAATGTTACTGATTTCCAAATAATAACTATTAAATAATTATTTGAAATTCATTATTTGAACAAATCTTTTACAGCAAAAACATGATGCTGCAATAGTTTGTCTATTGCATCATGCTCCTGAAACTGGATTCTAACGTATAAAACAACAATTCCCTCCACTTATAATACTCAAATAAAATCCATCCCTTTTTTTGCCCCACTCTTTTAATCTACAGAATTTCTTTAATGAGTTGTTTGAATCTTTAATGAGTTTTTTGAAACCAAGTGATGAGAAACCCTGTCAGCATCAAAAATATTTATTTTTATTTCTAATAAAACACCAGCTTGGTATTTTAAATTATTTTTTCATCCCTATAAGATTGATCTATTACTTCCTTTTAAGGTTCTTATGTTAACAGAAGTGGATGACCACCTACAACGGTGCCTGGAAGGTATTCCTCTCTCACTGGCAGACTGTGGGCTGGACGCTGTTACAGTGGACCCTGTGTTTAGAGCACTGATTACGCAGACAAATCTTCAGTATCTGGTGCTGTGCGACAACAGACTTGGTGACGACGGCTTTCAGGTCAGTTAAACAAAGTTTGTATTTGTTCAAATGCCAACTTCTCTGTCACTCGAATCAGACCAGTGTTGTTTGACATAGAACACTAGTCAAAGCTACAAGCCTGCTTCTTTTAGTATTTGTATTAGTGCTATCCCTTAACCGTTTAACCATTTAAACGCTTTAAAGCTGATTTAGCATTCATCGTTAGTAAGACCAAAATAAAACCTTCACTTACAACTATTTATACAAGCATAATTCAACAAAACCACTAAAACTGTACTTGTCATGTACATCCAGTTGTAATTGACACCTGCAAGGCATGCTTAGAACTAAAGTACTAAGCTTTTAGTATTTTTAATACCATTGGTGTTTAATCACAGCTTCCTAGCTAGGTGACAGAAACTCAGATTGAGATTTAGGCGGTCGATCGGTCGTGCAAGCGAGTCTAGTCTGACGGTGGAATTGAGTGTCCACACTGGGCCGTGCAGTCGTCGCAGCGACTAATGACAGTTCCTCTCCATTCGACTATTGTTACTCATGTTATCGGTTGAGAAAAAACGTAAGCTCAAGCTGCTGGACAGTTCTTCTATAATCTATGCTTACCTAAAGAAGAAATCGGTGGACCACAGGAATGCTACAAATGAGATTTTTAAGGAAAGGTATGAATTTGGTGGGTTTCATCAGTTATATGAAATGTTAAGATTGTATCCTGAACTTTATAAAAACTACACTAGGATGTTAGGGAATACATTTGACTACATCGTCACCGAATTGAAGAAGGAATTTACATTGAAGACTACAAACATTATATGGCCAATTTCTGTGGAAGAACGCTTTATTTTAACATCGTTTTACCACCTCACTCTTCAAGGCCTACAATCGCAATCGTCGGTCTGATGATACGCACGACCAAAAGCAAACATGTTTGTCTTTGGTCGGTCGTCCGACGCCGTCAGTTGCATTGTCGTGATTGAAATTTTTTGGTGCGACGGATTTGCTCGCATGGACGACCGACCGATCTTTCATCGTTCAGCTAGGACGGGGCCTTATAAAACTTCTGGACTCGGTCTGGTGTGCAACTAACTTGGAGTAGGTACATGACAGAACTTACTTCAGTTGAAGAGATATTGAGACCTCAATTTACTATGGTCATCGTCATATACAAAAAATAATTGAACTTAGATTTCAGATTGAATTTTTAATCAATCATTTTTAATTGAATCCTGTATCCCAAAATTATGGAGTTGACCACTATGTAACAAGTGAAACCAATCCTTGGCACAAACATTTATGTTACTGAGTATTCATTAGCTAGTGTTCTAGTTAGTACACATTGAAGAATTATACCATAGGACTACTCAAAAACATACTTACTTACTGCCATGGCCACTTGTACCCAAGCTGGTACTTGGCCTCGCCAACACATTGTCGCCAGTTCTCTCGGTCTTCCAAATCTTCCTCTTCTAGTCTCATCTTTTCCATATTCTTCCGGACTTGATCCCACTACCTAGCTTTTGGTCTTCCTACTGATCTCCTTCCCCTCGGATCTGCCATTTAAAACCATATCTTAACTTAATTTTAATTTTAGTAGTGAATAGAAAGTTGTGTTATAAAATTATGTGTGAGTATTCTTATTCAGAACAATGTATGGTTCGTGTTTGTAGTTGCTGGGAAAGTTGGTTCCAAAACTGCCCGTTCTCCAAGAGTTAGATGTCAGTTGCAATGGAATCACTGGAGATGGGCTCACTATGTTTGTGGATCAGGTCGTAGAACACCAGGCTTGTCAGGTACCCAACACAATGCTTAGTACATACATACATAATTAATTTACTGTATTGTTGGACCATGAGTGAAATCCAAATTTACATAGATATCTAAGGATCTGAGTGCATACTTATTGTTTTCCATAGTAGAAAATTGTCTTGTGTACAACTCATCTACGTCTACAGCTTGTGTAAAGCTTGTTAAAATAGTGACAAGTACTTACAACCTATAGAAAGTCATGTTTGTATTAGGCTACTGACTCAACATACTGAAGCGTACAACATTGACAGAACCAGGTAACTAATATTACTTGTACCTTACAGAGACTGAAGGTACTGAAGTTGAGTCACAATAGACTAGGTAGGACATGCACAGGGCCACTGTCTCGTCTATTGCAAGTAACCAGATGTCTCATGGGCCTGTCCATCACATCGGTGGGACTAACAGCAGGCAGCTTTGCAGGCACTAATCAACTCAATATGGGTAAGTTGAAGCTTTACAGTGTTATTTGACTGTTTTGTTATGTTTTCATCACAATTTTGTTTTATGGATGCAAGTGACATAATTTCAGCTATTATCAAATTACGCAACTGTTTTATAAACTCTGAAACACTATCACTAATTTGTTACAGAGAGAATTGAGGTGTTAGAAGCGAGTTCAAACTCACTGGGGAATGATGGTGTGCGAGCATTGCTGGGAGGACTGAGCGTGGAGCGAGTAGTGGAGCTACATTTGGCTCACACAGGAGAAAGGGTGGTGAGCGAAGTAGCGAACTGGCTAGCAAGAGGAGACCCGTGTAGACTGCAAACACTCAACCTTGCCCACTGTCCTGACCAGCAGACGGCTCTGGAGAGACTGACTCAGTGAGTATATAACCTTTGACAGTGTGGAGAAGAACACATTCCACACCTGTTGTGTATTCCTACGAAGGCTTGTTAAATAAGTGGACTCGATATTTTTAGCAAATTTTGAATTTAATTTCGGGTTCAAAATTACATGGACTTTTGTTCATTTTTACACAGATTAGTTAGATGAAAAGATAACACATTGTCTCTACAGAGAAAGTATTCTCATTGGTAAGAGTCAGTAATGTCAGAAGGCACAAACCCCACTTGGCTCGCCCTTACAGTCTTAAATAGTGCAACCAATGATTCCCAGCATAACATGCTTTAAGTGAGGCATATCAACTCTGCTTGGTTTTGCAACAAATTGTCTCACGGTTTTAACCATTCCCTTCAAATGCCATCCTTAGCTTGGCAACCAAAATCAATTCCATTTCCCTCCCATCTTCTTGCTTTATGTCCAAGTTGTTGTCGTCGTGAGTCTGAATCATATATTGCCTTGGTAATCTTGGCCAATTTCTTTGTCTTCTCAGTTGTGATTTCCTGATAGTTTTCTCTTGTTTAGCTTAAGTCTCATTTTGGACAGTTGGTAAATGGTACGAATTCAGCTAGCTTACCTGAGGAAATTAAAACCTAGAGTCTAGTAGACATATAAAATAAAAGGTCATGTAACTTTATTTTTTGTGAGTAGGTTGACAATAAAAGTCCAAACCCTAGCAATCCAAAAACCTTTTGGTAGTTAGCTTCATTAATTGATAGCCAAATTAACATCTGGATCCAGAATTTACCGTGCTATACTTATAATCTAGTTTCCAATTGAATAAATAATAAAGAAAATCTGTAATGCAGTTTAAAAAGCTTATACTAAAGGTTTTCAACTCAACCTGTTGCAGAAATCTTCAGAGAGTGGTATCACTAGAACATCTGGAACTCAGTTGCTCAGAGACGCTAGACCAACAGTCCTTACAGTCACTATACCAGCTGCCACTCAGAGTTCTGCGACTACCAGGAGTCAAAGTGGAGTTTTCTCCTTTTGCTCCTCCTCCTCCAGTGCATCAACTCAGCTGTCTCTCCCTCTCTTCCCCCACTCCCTTTTGGGCCCACACAGGACCCTTTGGGCTTTTCACTAACAACACTTGCACGTCCTTCAAAGTGCAACCAAATGTGACGTGAACGCTCACGTTTGCATTTTTTTATAGAGTTCCTAGTTCATTGTCATCATTATCATTGTTTTAGGTGAACCGTTTATTGATTGTTAGTACTGCATAGATTTACTCTCTGTGTGATCCTGATGTACCTGTTTTTGGATGTAGTGTATCTAGGAGAAATAGGATAGTTTAAATTATAAGACTAAATCATAAGATTTCCTTACTTTGGAATTTTCTACCACTTAGGCGAACAAATCATTATAATCTGTTGCTTTTCCCTTGTCACTTTTTAAGTGAAAAATAGATCTGGGGGAAAGCAGATTAAAATAATCATGGAATTTGGGTAACTAAGACTGTGATTTAAAAAATAAGTTTTGAGTTTTTACTGTTACTTCTTATTTATTCATTTTGTGCTATATTTGTAAGCTGCTTCCAGATGAAAGTTAGGGAATAAGCGCAATAATGAAGAATAGCGCTTATTTTGTTCTAAAAAGTTAATTTGCTATTACAAAAGTTATGCAAGTGTGTTTAAATTTACATTTAGCTGTGTGAATAAGACAGTATTTTTCATTTCCAAAGTTATATCTGGACTCGTTTATTTTTTTTTTTGTATTTTATACCATTAAAAATATATGAATAATTATCTATACAGATTGTGTTACTGATTACAGACAATAGATTCTTTAAAAATTGGCAGTCATAGTGTATACATAGATTTAGTATGATAAGATTCTGTCTATAAACTGAACTGCCCAATGTTGATGTACTTTCCCACCAACTTATGTAATGAACCTGACAAAAATTTTATTTTTTTCATTAGCTTTCTAACTGTTGTTTAAAAATTATCACTTAACGATAAAATTAGGTTGAATTAAAGTACTTGAATGTACATCAAGAAAGCTGCCCAAATGGTTTCATTATTGTGTCTAACATTCAGGCCTTGTTTTATTTAAGTTTAAAGTACAGTTATTTAAGCTGGAATTTTCCCATTTGACCTGTATTGTGTGATTGGCCAGTAGTACTATTCATGTCGTAAACAACACTAATCGTTTCAACATCACTGCTCATCACTGCCATATACCTCATTTGGCTGCATTTCACTGCTTATCAGCTTGGCACTTTGGCAGCCACTAGAATAGCTTCTTCCCTCCATTTCGGAATTATATTGGTTCCAACTTTGCTTACTAGGTATCACCACTAAGCTTACTTTCTTATTTCCTTGGTCATTTGGCATTTGTACCCTAGTTGGTATTTAGCCACACCAACAATCCACCTGGCCATGTTGTCAGGCTCCTTGTTTTTTCTCTTGGATAGTGACCAGTACCACTGTACCACTGTCTATCCGAGCAGCAAGGACAACCTATTTGAGATTTATCCGAGCTACTGTGTTAAAATTCAAACCCACAGCCAGTAAAACATAGCACCTTACCAACTAGGAAAATAAAATAGGAGCCTCTCCGTTTTTAAAGAGCTAAAATTTGTACTCTTTAAACTGTGAAACAGTATTTAATAATATTATTATATCTTATATTCAATTTCTTATACTGTAGAATAAATTGTTACTGTTATAGTTTAGCGTTTTTTTCTAAATAAATGAATGTTTGTTTTGTTTTTCATTTTGCCGCAAATTGAATACCAGCCTTTAATTCAAGAGAATGTTACAAAATTTGTTACTAACACCAAATAAAATATTATATGTTTTATCCATCCAATATTAATGTTTCCCACAGAAATTATTGAAGTTGACACTTTTTATTTGTATTTTTCAATTTTCCATGAATTTCTTTGTACTTTCTAGCTTTCTTTGTAAGTATTCCGTTTGATCCCAATACCAATGTGACATGTCATAGCAGAGGGGATAATTAACTGAACATCTCTTGACTTGTCTTCTCCTTGTCTTGTTTTTGCTAAGTTTAAAAGAAAATATTACATATAATTATTATATGGTATTGCTTACACACCATGGTTTGAGTTTGAGGTAAATGTGAGAATTGAGTGTAGAAAAAAGTGAGGTAAAATCTTGTCTAGTTTACTGAGACCAAATGTTCATTTAGCCACAATAGCTTGTTCAAGGAAAGCTGAGCTCAGTATCATTAAGTATAAGAGACAGGATAAGTGTAAGAAAGGGCAATGTGGCCCTAACTTTGCCTGTGTAAATAAATAACTTTTCATTATAAGAGACATTTGGGTACTATTCCAGCATCAGGTTAAATGAACTACACAAATACTTTTAATAAATACAATTCATGACTAAAATAAATAAAACATTTAAAAAATTGAAAATATCACTAAATTTATGGTGGTAAACCAATTAAGCTTTTCTCTCTTAGCTATGCTTACCAACCAACCCTCAAGTACTTCCCTTATGTATTGAATGCTCCATAATTTGAAACTCTACTCCACAACTACAAGATTATGGTCTCTATTTTAAATTAGCAATAACTGATTCCGAATACGGGTTTTTCTACCTACTTATGCAGTTAGGTGAGAAAACAAGAACCTAATTTGGCCGTGAAAAGAACCTGATGATAAAATCCAACCGTCCTTGGAAGGACGGTTGGACGTCCATAACTGGATGGCTGCTAGTAATGATGGCTTACAGGAATCTAGGGGACGATTTTCCGTCCGTGAAAATGTTATCCCCAAAAAGGTTTACATATCCCCTGGGTAGTGCTAAATGACTAACAGTGTTGTATTCCCTCACACCTGTGGTTTTACAGCATACATAATATCCTTGGTAAAAAACATCAATTTCAACTTACATTCTTTCTTCTTTTTGACAGCATACTGGAGATTCTGAAAAAGAGTCTTTGTTCATTGCACATTTCAAACCATTATCCAATGTTTGAAACAATACGGTATTCTACTTATTTGTTCGTATACTTCTACGTATAGTTTCCACAAACATATTTGGAACGGCGAAATTTTTTACTCATCATGATGTCAGAGGCTTATAAATTTAATAGGCTACTTAATCACAAATATGGAATGTCAGTTTACCAATCCTTGCTTTGCATTAACTCATACCTTGCTCCACAATATTCCTGGTGATAATTTCTAATTAATTAATCTTATATTGTCTAAATGTTTACTTACATTCCTGTTCTTATGTTTGTGTTGTGTGTGTTCTAGCATAGACAAAAGAATTAAATATAGACTGTCAGCCGTGCTGCGGTTGCCATGGTTACCATAGGTTCCGGCGCACACCGCTGCAGTTTACGTAGCGCGTACGCCGTAACTACGGTGGTGCTCCAAGCGGTGTGCACCAGAACCTATGGTAACCGCAGCACAGCTGACGGTCTATATTTAATTCTTTTTGTCTATGGTTCTAGCTACCTATGCTTTGACGAATGTGTATGCTTTAAATTTACAATTGCAAAAAAATTACGAGTATGTAACCTGATTCAACTTAATGATACCCGTTTTGTGTTTAAAAGTAGTACAGTGGTCAAAAATATGAAATTTTAAGCACTAGAGACTCGATTCACAGGCACAAATAGCACAGGTATCCAGATTGATGCCTACCGAGTGTAGATACACGTACAGTACACTTAAAAAGATATGATTGCACTAGTCCTATGCTGTGATAGACCAAACAAATCTGTTACAGGAAAATCCTTGTACAGTATTTTGTTAAAAAAAGTGTTATGTGTTTATTATTAGCAAAAGTAAGAAATTATTGACAAACAGAAGGAAATTAAATACATATCTGCTTACCTCTAAATCATTGGCAGGTTCAACGTCAAATGGTTTATTTAGTGTCCAAACGTATTCCAAATACTTTTTATTCCACACAATATCTTGTAAAGGTATTTTGAATAGAGCTAAAGTTGACTTGGAGATCAATATTTCTTTGTTAAGATCCTGTTTGACAAAACCCGTTCAGTAATGACATACATGAGGTTCCCATTTCACCCTTTGAATTCAGAGGTGTTTAATTTCTTTAACTACAGTATGCCTATTTCAGTAATGCTTTTGCTTATGAGTGAAATAATTAAAATAGCAAAATGCATGATGAGTAATGTGAGGGAGAAGTTTCAAAGAATCCAACCAATCTTGTTGACTTCCATCTTTTGCAGAGTTAAATAGTTGGAAGTGGAGTGGTACATCGTGTTTTTCTAGATGGCTGCTGAATTAGCCTTTAATACTCAAAGCGGGTTAATGTGCTAGAGGTATTTTGTGAGTACAGTTCCATATTGCTGTATTGTTGCATTGGTTTGGAAAAATATTGAACTCAATTCTCCAATTAACTTAGTGATAAATTCAATTTGCTTAGTTGACACTAAATTATCATTTAAGCTATGGTTCCACAGACTGCAGAATCTCCGCCATGCCCATGCGGTGCGATTTTTTTCCGCTGCGTAATTACAACGACGCTGGTTTAATGGAGTTTCCTTGTGTGCGGTTCCACTGACGTAAGTTTCCGCATCCCGAATTTTTGGTTCCGCATGGCAGACAAATCATACTGGTCTGAGAGCAGTGGCAGTGCAGATTCCGCCAGCGGAGAAGAGCCATACATTATAAAATAGGTTACGTACCTTTACGTCGTCAATCCTAGGTTAGTCTTTTTAGCGACTAGTTTCGAAACTGACGTTTCATTTTCAAGCCTTGTCAAACATAAAATTACTTGAACATAATGTCGTCGTCAAAGTACACAAATATAACATTTAACACGCACAAATACATTAATATACATAAAGACGCGTGGCCGGCCATTACACGCACGACGAACACGACTCAACTACCGACTGCCGCTGGTCTGGTGACATTGACCTTGGAGGAGGGGGTGGGACAGCTGATTATGAGCGCCTTTGTTATCAATGTCCTCAATCCTATCAAATACTATGTTGCGACCAAAATTTAGCTTTTCATTCAGGATGTCGTGGGGAAACCTTTTTGTTGCTTTGTAGATTTCATAGCTTTCAAGGACATTCATTAAGGAGCCTTTGGTGCATTTATGTAAAATATCCAGGTTATCACTACAGCTGCTTACGTTGTGGTTGTCATTCACCAGGTGTTCAGCGAACTTAGAATGTTGTGTTCGCAATTTAGGCTTGGGTAGATGTTCATTAAACCTTTTTTTGAATGAACGACCTGTTTGTCCGATATACATTTTTGGACAGTCGCTGCAGGTTAATTTGTACACTCCGGTGTCCTCTAGGCTATTGGAAACTGTAGATTTCGAAGTACGTGGATTTAGGTGGCTTTCTAGTTTATTTGAGGTTTTGCAGGCCAATGTAATGTTATGTTTCTTTAGTTCATTTTTTAAGGTATAATGTAAGCAATTGCCATATTCTATAGAAATAAAGTTTTGATCGGTTTTCTGTAGTGGTTTTCTGTTCTTTTGTTTGTGTATAATATTGTCGATAATACTGCTATTGTATCCGTTATTGACTGCTATACATTTTAATATTTCATATTCGTTGTTGTAGTTATTTTGAGACATGGGTATTGTTAAAAGTCGATTAACGAAGCTGTTGTAAGCGGCCATCTTGTGTGATTGTGGATGATTGGAGGTTGCATGGATTGTATGGTCTGTAGTTGTAGGCTTTCTATAGATTTTGTAGTCAATACTATTATTATTTTTGGTCAATGTTAGATCCAGAAAGTTAATTGAATTATTATTCTCGATCTCGAGTGTGAATTTTATTTGATGTGAAATGCTGTTCAAATGATTATTGAGAAGTTGCAGCTGTCTGGAGTTTCCATTAAAAAGCAAAAGGGTGTCATCAACGTATCGTTTATAAAATATGATTTTCTTGGAGAATTTGTTGCTGGTGGAGAGAATATTTTCATTTTCAAAACGATTTAGGTATATTTCGGAGAGCACACTGGACAAAGGTGAACCCATAGCTAGTCCTTCATCTTGAAGATAATATTTTCCATTAAAACTGAAGTAATTTTGTTCTAGAGTTGTTTCGAGTAGATTTATTAACTCGTTAATGGCGTCAGTGCTAAGTTGGGAGTTTTCTAGCAGGTTTTCTTTAGTTATTTCTAACGTTTCATGTATTGGAACATTTGTATACAAGTTTACAATGTCCAGAGATGCCAAAGTATGTCTGTTTTCTACTTGAATATCTTTCATAGAATCTATTAACTCTAGACTATTTCTAAGGCTATGGTTATTCTTAAATTTGATGTTGTTTCTAAGTATTCTATCTAGAGCTTTTGCGAGTTTGTAGGATGGTGCAGAGGTGAAGTTTACAAGTGGTCGTATCGGCATGGTGTCTTTGTGTATTTTAGGTAATCCCCTCAATACTGGCGCTTTGGGTTTGATCATTTTGAGGTAATTGCATCGGTTCCCGTTGAAGATGTGTTGAGTTTTGTTTATGACAGTTTTGAGTTTAGTGTGGAAAAGGTCAGTTGGGTCTTTAGGCAATTCTTTGATGTTATTGTTGTCAATAAAATCTAAGACTTTGTTGTTGTAATCGTCTAGTTTCATGATTACGATGCACTGGCCTTTATCAGCTTTAGTTGCAATGCAGTTATGTGTCATAAGTTTTTCTTTTATAGATTTGATTGTATTTATCTCACTTATAAGACACTTATTTTTGTTTTTATTTTTATTTCGATTTAGGATTGATTTTACCTTGTTATCAATGATGTGTCTTACATAATTTTTGGAATTTTCGTCCTTTATAGAGCTTACAGCTATCTCTGCGTTCAACAACTCAGAGGTTAGATTTTTATTCCAGTTTCCGTTAATGGTGTTGTGCTTGAGTCCTTTGTTGAGGACATTCATTTCGGGTTCAGTAAAAATTAAATCAGTGCAGTTTTTTACTCTAGGAAAGAACGTGTGGTTTGTTATAAATTGTTCAATAGGTTTGGAATGTAGTTCTACAAGTCTTTTTATTTTACATTTTTGGATTTCTTTCTTTCTGAAAATTATTTTACTTATTTGATTTTCGAGATTCGTCAACACGTTGTTGGTTTGAGAAGGGTGAATTGCATTTAGAAGGTTTATATGTGATCTCAAAAGTAGTGTATTTAGCATGTCTTTCTTTTTGTAAAGAAATTTGATTTCATTTTTTATCCATGTTATTTCTGCTAATGATTTGGCCTTTTGAGCAGCAAAACTTTTATTCTTTACTCTCACTTGAACGTAGTTAGGGATGACGTTCAAGTCTATGCATGCTTTGTTAAACTTTATGTTCTGACATGTGTTCAATAACTTTAGTTTGGCGTTTTTGTATTTGTAGGCAATTTTCGCCTGACTGGCATCTAATTTATTCAGCATTGCCTCCAGGATTGATTTAAGACAATATAAAATAGGTTACGTACCTTTACGTCGTCAATCCTAGGTTAGTCTTTTTAGCGACTAGTTTCGAAACTGACGTTTCATTTTCAAGCCTTGTCAAACATAAAATTACTTGAACATAATGTCGTCGTCAAAGTACACAAATATAACATTTAACACGCACAAATACATTAATATACATAAAGACGCGTGGCCGGCCATTACACGCACGACGAACACGACTCAACTACCGACTGCCGCTGGTCTGGTGACATTGACCTTGGAGGAGGGGGTGGGACAGCTGATTATGAGCGCCTTTGTTATCAATGTCCTCAATCCTATCAAATACTATGTTGCGACCAAAATTTAGCTTTTCATTCAGGATGTCGTGGGGAAACCTTTTTGTTGCTTTGTAGATTTCATAGCTTTCAAGGACATTCATTAAGGAGCCTTTGGTGCATTTATGTAAAATATCCAGGTTATCACTACAGCTGCTTACGTTGTGGTTGTCATTCACCAGGTGTTCAGCGAACTTAGAATGTTGTGTTCGCAATTTAGGCTTGGGTAGATGTTCATTAAACCTTTTTTTGAATGAACGACCTGTTTGTCCGATATACATTTTTGGACAGTCGCTGCAGGTTAATTTGTACACTCCGGTGTCCTCTAGGCTATTGGAAACTGTAGATTTCGAAGTACGTGGATTTAGGTGGCTTTCTAGTTTATTTGAGGTTTTGCAGGCCAATGTAATGTTATGTTTCTTTAGTTCATTTTTTAAGGTATAATGTAAGCAATTGCCATATTCTATAGAAATAAAGTTTTGATCGGTTTTCTGTAGTGGTTTTCTGTTCTTTTGTTTGTGTATAATATTGTCGATAATACTGCTATTGTATCCGTTATTGACTGCTATACATTTTAATATTTCATATTCGTTGTTGTAGTTATTTTGAGACATGGGTATTGTTAAAAGTCGATTAACGAAGCTGTTGTAAGCGGCCATCTTGTGTGATTGTGGATTCCAAACCTATTGAACAATTTATAACAAACCACACGTTCTTTCCTAGAGTAAAAAACTGCACTGATTTAATTTTTACTGAACCCGAAATGAATGTCCTCAACAAAGGACTCAAGCACAACACCATTAACGGAAACTGGAATAAAAATCTAACCTCTGAGTTGTTGAACGCAGAGATAGCTGTAAGCTCTATAAAGGACGAAAATTCCAAAAATTATGTAAGACACATCATTGATAACAAGGTAAAATCAATCCTAAATCGAAATAAAAATAAAAACAAAAATAAGTGTCTTATAAGTGAGATAAATACAATCAAATCTATAAAAGAAAAACTTATGACACATAACTGCATTGCAACTAAAGCTGATAAAGGCCAGTGCATCGTAATCATGAAACTAGACGATTACAACAACAAAGTCTTAGATTTTATTGACAACAATAACATCAAAGAATTGCCTAAAGACCCAACTGACCTTTTCCACACTAAACTCAAAACTGTCATAAACAAAACTCAACACATCTTCAACGGGAACCGATGCAATTACCTCAAAATGATCAAACCCAAAGCGCCAGTATTGAGGGGATTACCTAAAATACACAAAGACACCATCCCGATACGACCACTTGTAAACTTCACCTCTGCACCATCCTACAAACTCGCAAAAGCTCTAGATAGAATACTTAGAAACAACATCAAATTTAAGAATAACCATAGCCTTAGAAATAGTCTAGAGTTAATAGATTCTATGAAAGATATTCAAGTAGAAAACAGACATACTTTGGCATCTCTGGACATTGTAAACTTGTATACAAATGTTCCAATACATGAAACGTTAGAAATAACTAAAGAAAACCTGCTAGAAAACTCCCAACTTAGCACTGACGCCATTAACGAGTTAATAAATCTACTCGAAACAACTCTAGAACAAAATTACTTCAGTTTTAATGGAAAATATTATCTTCAAGATGAAGGACTAGCTATGGGTTCACCTTTGTCCAGTGTGCTCTCCGAAATATACCTAAATCGTTTTGAAAATGAAAATATTCTCTCCACCAGCAACAAATTCTCCAAGAAAATCATATTTTATAAACGATACGTTGATGACACCCTTTTGCTTTTTAATGGAAACTCCAGACAGCTGCAACTTCTCAATAATCATTTGAACAGCATTTCACATCAAATAAAATTCACACTCGAGATCGAGAATAATAATTCAATTAACTTTCTGGATCTAACATTGACCAAAAATAATAATAGTATTGACTACAAAATCTATAGAAAGCCTACAACTACAGACCATACAATCCATGCAACCTCCAATCATCCACAATCACACAAGATGGCCGCTTACAACAGCTTCGTTAATCGACTTTTAACAATACCCATGTCTCAAAATAACTACAACAACGAATATGAAATATTAAAATGTATAGCAGTCAATAACGGATACAATAGCAGTATTATCGACAATATTATACACAAACAAAAGAACAGAAAACCACTACAGAAAACCGATCAAAACTTTATTTCTATAGAATATGGCAATTGCTTACATTATACCTTAAAAAATGAACTAAAGAAACATAACATTACATTGGCCTGCAAAACCTCAAATAAACTAGAAAGCCACCTAAATCCACGTACTTCGAAATCTACAGTTTCCAATAGCCTAGAGGACACCGGAGTGTACAAATTAACCTGCAGCGACTGTCCAAAAATGTATATCGGACAAACAGGTCGTTCATTCAAAAAAAGGTTTAATGAACATCTACCCAAGCCTAAATTGCGAACACAACATTCTAAGTTCGCTGAACACCTGGTGAATGACAACCACAACGTAAGCAGCTGTAGTGATAACCTGGATATTTTACATAAATGCACCAAAGGCTCCTTAATGAATGTCCTTGAAAGCTATGAAATCTACAAAGCAACAAAAAGGTTTCCCCACGACATCCTGAATGAAAAGCTAAATTTTGGTCGCAACATAGTATTTGATAGGATTGAGGACATTGATAACAAAGGCGCTCATAATCAGCTGTCCCACCCCCTCCTCCAAGGTCAATGTCACCAGACCAGCGGCAGTCGGTAGTTGAGTCGTGTTCGTCGTGCGTGTAATGGCCGGCCGCGCGTCTTTATGTATATTAATGTATTTGTGCGTGTTAAATGTTATATTTGTGTACTTTGACGACGACATTATGTTCAAGTAATTTTATGTTTGACAAGGCTTGAAAATGAAACGTCAGTTTCGAAACTAGTCGCTAAAAAGACTAACCTAGGATTGACGACGTAAAGGTACGTAACCTATTTTATATTGTCTTAAATCAATCCTGGAGGCAATGCTGAATATAAAAGCCATACATTATTGTGACCATGCAGTTTCATTATGTCTTGTGTTATTTAGTTAAATAAATGACAAAAATACTAAATCTTGGTACATACCTTAATGTTACCGCTAGTTTAATCTCAGCATTCAAAGGTTGTTTGTCTCGATTAGTAGCGTTGGTGGGTAAGTCATCTTTGAAAAAGAAAAATTGGTCTTTTGACGCACCGAAGTACCGCTTAAACATTGTTTCATTGTCTACCAAATATTTACGAACGAGTATGTTGTAAGCTCCTTCACTGTCCCGAATCTTAAATATATCACTTCAATCACTATGACTTGACACCAACAAAGATAAAAGATCGACAACATCATCATCAATATCACCATACAGCATCAAAGCCTCGAGGGCTTTCATCTTCCAATCCATACTCGTTGCTAGTTTGGACACAACTGAATTTCCGCAAATTTATTTCCTCAGTCAGTGGAACCACCCCTCCGGATTTACGCGGCGTAAGTTTCCGCTGCGAAAAATTACGCACCGCACAGCAGAAGTTCCGCAGTCTGTGGAACCATAGCTTTAAACACATTCTGTCAAGTTCCAATATTGCTTTAACTCACCCCTTCAGAAACACCATTTCTTTTTAAAGAATCGTCTTTTCCTCGTTTTTGTTTAGATTTTCCCTTTGATACAGGAGTTGATGTCTGCAATAATAAAGAAATGTTACCATTGTTTTTGATAAACTGCAACTAATGTGACTGTTATAATCCATGAATTTACATCATCAACAATCTTCCAGAGAATATTGAATCCCCCCCAGTTATTACAGAGGCCATCCTGATGAATGCCTATGCAGTTTGCAAATTCAAGTGGATTCAAAACCTCTTCAACATTGATTTGGACAGTTACCAATCAGATTGAAGTATCGCCAGAATTGCAGTTGCAGGCGATTGAGCTTACCAGCGATAGAAAACTAAAGGAACACTTCAAAGTGATCTCTGAAGCAGGACATCCCTCCACCACATTTTACAGGTGTGTTTTAAATACCTAATAATGTAATGTAATATTTTATTTTCCTATTATTTTGCACTAGGATTAAAATCATATTTAGTCATGAAACTAATTGGTTCTGTTTTTCCAGATGCATTAGTTGACTGTTTTGACTGATGACTGAAGAGAACCTAAAAATTGTAAAAGGTTTTACAGAGAGCTTTTGTTTGGTTTACTTGTGATAACAGACATTTTTGAAAATATACATGTATGGACTGACGAGAGCTATCTATTCTGGAAATTGTTGAAACAAAATTTGAACCAAAATGCCTTAAAATTTTGAATGGAATGCGGTTTTACAATATTGCATACAGTAACAAACTTAAAATTTAGTTTTTATTGCAGATTCTTAATCTTGCAGTCAACCAAAGAATTCAAAGAAAGACAGTGTGCTCTGAACAAAAGTTATCCAGTCCACCCAAACTCCACAGCCTCATTTCCCTCCAAGCTACCAACCTATAGGGTAACCAGGCCCTTAATAAGAGTGTCAAACCAGATCCCCCTCAATTCTGGTCTATGGTGACATGACAAGCTATGAGTTGGCATCCCTGCAGCCTCATTTGAACACATTCAAAATTTGCCTAACTGTCAGGCTACTTACAGCTTTTTGGCCTTGACATAAGCTTACTATATGTTTTTGTTGGCATATCCAACAATGTACGTCATAGGAAAAAAAGCAAGTGCAATCCACACATTTTTGAGATCGGTCTTTTTGACTATTGACTATGCAAATAATATATTTTATCTATTCCTATATATTTCTTTTTTATGTATTTGATTGTGTTTAGTATAACGAGTTTACTCACCATTAAATGTACCACTCTCAGTGTTAGATCACTTCTAAAAACGTCCCTCAATGACCACAAATCACAATTAGACACCTCTATAGCTGGACTTTCAAATTCTATAATTTTACCCCAGCTTTTCCTTTGGGATTTGAAGCATTCTTGAATACCCTGGTCCAATGTCAATTGTAATTTATACTTCACAATTTCCTCACTCTCATTTGTTATTTTAGTTTCAGGAGTTTTTGAATTTTTCACTACTCCGAGTGATTTTTTCCCCTTCTTACTTTTCACACTGCTTAATTGATTACCAGCATCCGATTTAGATTTTTTTGAGGTTTTATTTATTTCTTCCTTGTTATGATTCTTTAATTTCTTACTCTTTCCTTTTGTTGATTTGTCTTCAATTTCAGATAATTTTCCTTTTTCTTGCTTGTTATTTTTTGTTTTGTAATTCTTTCGGTCTAGTTCTATAATTTCTTCATGTTCTAACTGTGATTCATCAATGAGAAAACTTGGCTCTCTATTTATTATATATTGTTGTAAAATGGGTAGCTCAAATTCAAGTCTGAATGAATGTGTCACTTTCTACAAAAAAAATTTGTATTATATGTGTCACATTATCACTACATTTAATACACATTAGAATTATGCCAGATTTACCTCTAGCAAAGAGAGGCCCGCAGTGTTTTGTACAAGAACCATATTTCATAGAAAATATTTGATTGGCTTATTTTGTTAATCAAGCCGAGTCAAGCTTAAAACTAAAAGCTCAACAAGTGGTTATCAATTATTATACATTATTATCAATCATTGAAATGGGGATGCTTCCTAGATGCGTATTCTAACCAAAAAATGGGAGTGTAGAATGGTGTGAGATGATCTGTGTAGCTTTGTTACTGACTAAGATCAGCTGTTTCATTGGCCAGGACCATTAAATTTATTTAAATCCTAATGATCAGGAACAGCTGGGTCATTTGGAACCATCAAAAAGCTACTGACTTTTCTCAGGAGCGAACCGGCGACTTTTGATTGCTAGCCAAGCACTATGACCCATCTTGGGCCCATCTATCCCAAAGGCTACCCATCTTGGGTTTAACACCAAGTCAGAAAATTGAGATCCAGCCTAGCTTTTGCTAATGATATTATTGTGATTGCAAAACGTTTCCTAAGATTGTGTGGTCAAAAATTATTTCAACCTTTTGTTCCTATCGCGATAAACAACAGCAATTATGTTTCCTTAATGACAGGAGATGATGATGAGAGATGTTCAATTTGTTGGCTGGACAAACCAAAATGTGGTTTATGATTTATGAAAAAATTAGACAAACAATTTTTTTCCCCATAAAACCCCTCTCGTAGTCTGATCATGCTGGTTCAAGAACTCATTCAAATAAAGGTAGGTACACACGTTTGTACTAAATTTCATCAAAATCGTACTAATGGATTCACATAGTGTGAAGTAATGGTATTTTTGGGCTCTGGGGACATCAAAACGATAAACTAAATTTGTCTCGGGGTCCAGGTCTTACTAAGAGACTTATGGGAATAGCATATCCCCTATAAAATGGGAAATTCGCTAAAACTTGTTAAAGAAGAGCAACTACCGTACAATTATTAAAATACTTCTCAATCTACAAAAATCAAAACTGCATGTCATAAAGTAAATCTATAAAGTACCTTATTATTGATTTTTTTATTATGTGGTTGTGGTACGCCCATGAGACGAAACAAGTATATTTGTAATGTACCATCCTGTTCTAAATCACTTTCATTTCCGTCACTTGGTTTCTGATCCTTTAACAATTCCCCATCCAAAAAGATTAACTTTGGTATATTCCTCATAATATATGTTGGATAGTTTGGTGACATCTGAAAAAGAACTTGTCTTGTATTTTTGTTTTGAATTTATGAGCTAATTTTATTTTTCTTCCCGCCAAGGATTATTATTTAGTCAGTCAAGAGTAGCTTAGCAAAACTACTAACATATTTTTGCAAGTATTCATCAAAGCCCAATGGAATATATTCTAACATTGTGTTCTTAAAATACTCAATGAGCAAAGGTCACCAACAGAGCAAGGGTTCCCAATGAGCACGAGAGAGGAAAGATTCTTCAACTGTGAACATGCAGTAACCAACTGAGTCATGTCCTCTATATTGTTTTGTGCCAAATCCAAGTGGTACAGGAACTCAAACATTCTCAGAGGTTCCAGTACACCTGTAAAATAATGATTAACAATAATTAGTTGCTAACGTAGGATTAACAATAATAATTGCATTATAAAGGCGTCAATGCTTTAAAATATCAAATATGATTATCATTTAATGGTAAGTCACATTGCTGATAAGGATTTTTTTATAGAGTTACTGTACGTTTACTTGGGAGTATTTGAGGACAGCAGCTATAAAGGTACATAAATAAAGTTCACACATAATTTTCTCTAAGGTCTTGTAATTCTTTTATGAGCCTACAAGCTCTTGAACTTTGACATCTAAGATTAAAAATAATTTTTACACATCCTGAAAATGCACCAAACCTTAGAATTTTAGTCTTATTTAAATAAGACAAAGGAAATCTTGATAAAAGAAGAAATTATTAAATAAATGAATAATCCCTGGGTCTTGAAAGATTAAACTCTAGCAATAACATAGTTGTCTGAAATGGGTAGCCGATTGGATGGGCCTTAAATCTGTAGGTTGCAGGTGTATAACTGAACTGAACCCATTGACCCATTTTAGATGCCATTTGTCATTAGGCTTTCAGTTGATGATGCTCTCTGACAAAAGTTCCATAGACTGTAATAAGAACAGGATTTGGACCGTTCTCTTACAAAAAAACATACAATACCACTGGTCAGTCGGTTTCTAGCCAAGCCGAGATAGAGAAGAGGGGGAGAGTTGTCTGCCAGTGAGGTTATGTCAGTCAGTCTGTTGCTACAGAGCTCCAGAACCATCAGTCTACGAGGGAGGCTGACTCCTGTGCAGGACAACAGACAGTTGCCAGCCAACACTAGAACCTCCAGGTCTACCAGTCCGCGTAGAGAGTCATCCATCTTGTCTATCTGGTCAAACAAGTATTAGCATTGACAATCAATCCTCTCTTGGCTGACTCCTTTGCAGGACAACAGACAGTTGCCAGCCAACACTAGAACCTCCAGGTCTACCAGTCTGCGTAGAGAGTCATCCATCTTGTCTATCTGGCCAAACAAGTATTAGCATTGACAATCAATCCTCTCTTGGCTGACTCCTGTGCAGGATAACAGACAGTTGCCAGCCAACACTAGTACCTCCAGGTCTACCAGTCTGCGTAGAGAGTCATCCATCTTGCCTATCTGGTCAAACAAGTATTATATCATTGACAATCAGTCCTCCCTTGGCTGACTCCTTTGCAGGATAACAGACAGTTGCCAGCCAACACTAGAACCTCCAGGTCTACCAGTCTGCGTAGAGAGTCATCCATCTTGTCTATCTGGTCAAACAAGTATTATATCATTGACAATCAGTCCTCTCTTGGCTGACTCCTTTGCAAGATAACAGACAGTTGCCAGCCAACACTAGAACCTCCAGGTCTACCAGTCTGCGTAGAGAGTCATCCATCTTGTCTATCTGGTCAAACAAGTATTATATCATTGACAATCAGTCCTCTCTTGGCTGACTCCTTTGCAAGATAACAGAAATTTGCCAGCCAACACTAGAACCTCCAGGTCTACCAGTCTGCGTAGAGAGTCATCCATCTTGTCTATCTGGTCAAACAAGTATTATATCATTGACAATCAGTCCTCCCTTGGCAGACTCCTTTGCAAGATAACAGACTGTTGCCAGCCAACACTAGAACCTCCAGGTCTACCAGTCTGCGTAGAGAGTCATCCATCTTGTCTATCTGGTCAAACAAGTATTATATCATTGACAATCAGTCCTCCCTTGGCTGACTCCTTTGCAGGATAACAGACAGTTGCCAGCCAACACTAGAACCTCCAGGTCTACCAGTCTGCTTAGAGAGTCATCCATCTTGCCTATCTGGTCAAACAAGTATTATATCATTGACAATCAGTCCTCCCTTGGCTGACTCCTTTGCAGGATAACAGACAGTTGCCAGCCAACACTAGAACCTCCAGGTCTACCAGTCTGCTTAGAGAGTCACCCATCTTGTCTATCTGGTCAAACAAGTATTATATCATTGACAATCAGTCCTCCCTTGGCTGACTCCTTTGCAAGATAACAGACAGTTGCCAGCCAACACTAGAACCTCCAGGTCTACCAGTCTGCGTAGAGAGTCATCCATCTTGCCTATCTGGTCAAACAAGTATTAGCATTGACAATCAATCCTCTCTTGGCTGACTCCTGTGCAGGACAACAGACAGTGGCCTCAGGTCGGCTGTTCTGACTGACTGTTGAGCTGAACTGATAACCTCCAGCAGTTGAATGAGCTACTTACAGATTGAGCTTTAGTCAACATTTTATTTTTAACTATTTTATCATTGTGGCATTCAAAAGATATTTTAAAACTAAGTTGTCCTCTCTGTTTGGCTTGAAAAATGACAGTGTGTTTGCAAAAGAAAACAGTGTCTAACCTCAACTGCACTTTGTTGGTGGTACAATTCAACGACTGTAACCCATCAGTTTGTTACCCTTGTTGTTTTTAAGCTCCTAAGGCTCGTTTCACACATACCCGGCATGCAATTAACCTGACTTCTAACCGGCATCGGCTAGGGTTCACCTTTCATACTACGCCGACACCGGCACTCTGGCAGTTGTACCGTACTCCATCTTGTTTTAAGTGGTGTGTTGTAAGAGATCGAAATGGAACCTATATAGATAGGTAGATAGCAATAGGGCTGTTACTTTTGTACAGACAATTGAATAGAAGAAGATGGAAGAATCATGTACACTGGGTCCACCCTTTGAACGTAAAAAGAATCAAAGTTGATGTTTTTTATATTTTAAAAAAAAAGTTAATAAACAAATTTTATATTCTTATTTTAACTTTGCTCACAAAACCTAAAGTCACATATCAACAAACAACTTAACAAAAAACATGTGGTGCAGAGACGACAGGCAACAGGTGCCTGTTGTACGTGAACTATCACATCTTGGCCGCTACATCAGCCGGCTCGTTTACCCGACACCAGCTGCCAGCCATTGCCAATGGGGCGTCCGGTATCCCTCGACTAGTACACGGCAGCCGGGTAAGTGATTATAACCAGCCACAACACATGTCGTGCATATTTGAACGGTCCCATGTACTTCTTCTTCACGTTGCCGGTTAAACAACACCTGGTACCCGACAGCCAGGTAGATGTGAAACAGGCTTAGGTGTGGTCAGTTCAGTCATGCAGCATCAAAGGGACCATCGGCATCACCAGGACGTGGGCCCAACACGTTAGGTTCGGCACATTAGCTTGTCTATGACTGTAGTCTTATTGAATCTTGCCATCTTAGACTTTTTACAAAACGTACTAGGAACTTGGCAAGATTTATTAACATTATAACTAAATAATCATTACCTTAGAACCAGTCAGTCTTAAGACCTTCATTCTCTTCAAAACTTCCTTTACAGTCATTTTTCCTGTACTATGATGCCTAAGGTAAAGTTCAATTAGCCCAATCAAATCATCACAAATATTGTTGAACCTCTCAAATTTTTCAATATCCACAAGACCTTTCACAATATCAAATTGTATCCTTTCCAGTTTATCTTGTTGAATGAAAGTTTCCTGCTTCTGTTTTTGGTTGAGATGGTACAGAAAACTGCTGAGATAAGATTTATCCATTTTTTCCTTGATTGCTTCATTAAGACTAGTAGAATTTTCACACTGTCTCGATTCAAAGGATTTTAACTGCCTTTCAAAATATGTCCAGTGGGGGTTTTCAAAGTCACAGGAATAACAATTTTGATCAGCCATATTCAAAACTTAAAATATTTACAAACTAATAATTAAAGCTGTTTTAGTTTGATTCTAAATCACATGTCTGTAATATAGGAAATTAACTAGGACAAGATTCAGCAATAATGAGCAAACAGCAAAGTTTATCCTCAAAGAGCATATTTTTTGCTCATATAATTAGTTAAATATGTTAAAGTTGCCATCAACAGATAAAAGTGATATAGTGTTACACAAAATACTTAAAATCCAAGTAAATATCAATAATCTTTTCCTTTTGAAAGGGGTACAGTAGAATTCATTATTCCTCGATCTGCTCCCTGGAAATCCCCACACTAAACAAAATATCATTGTTGCGTTGTTTGATATTTATTTTTTGTAGGTGACTATAAGACCAGATTCTTGGCTCTAATTTTGTCATCAAAGCAAGCTGAATTTAGTAACGTGATTTTTCTTAAAATCAAAAATAAATTTTGTGTACCTAGGAATATTTTTTTTGTAACGTATGTCTCTGACTTAGTTCGATTTCAAAGGCTAGTTAATTCTGGACCGAGATGCCAATTGTCATTAGGCTATCAATTTTATGATGCTACAGTATTTAACAAAGGAAAGGCCAAAGTTAAATAGTAGCACACAGGACCAGAGTTTGAAATCTTCATCCCTAACAAAATGTAAACCCAAAAATTAAGTGTTAAAACACAAAAAGGTTTTTATTGTGTAAATGTACATTAATAATTTTTAATTAATTCCTAAAATATAGTCCCATTCTTGTGTCAAAATACTGGTGTAAAGTACTCCAAAACATTTTACCATCAGCTCCATAATTTGAAAGCTACAAGTTTGAATCCTAGACATCCATTGATTCCGGTTAGATAGAGTTTACACTTCGAATTCATTTGATTTTCTGATAAATATGTCTTTTCTTCAGCATGAACAGGAACATGCGAGACATTTTACACAGCATTTTAGGATTCACATGATTTACGGAGTTACCCATTTCTGAGTAGTTTGTGGGACAGTATTGGATCTGATTTTTATGCTCATTAGTGGAAACAGACTCCTCTGCATATCCACACAGATAAACCTCGCTGTCCTTGCTCCTGTAATGCTTCTTGCTGTTTCGTCTGGGGAGCTTTGGACCAGGACACACAATGTTGACATTCTCTGAATCCTGGAGTTCCTCACTGTTGTAAGTTGATGTTCTTACTCTGTGATTATTCATTTTTTCAAGTGAAATTTGATCATATTTTTCAGGCTGTCTTGGATCAACCCAATCACAAAATTCACTTTCCTCATAAAGTGGTGCAATTTTCTCTCTTTCCCTTGATATATCTCCACCAACTCCTTTGGTTTCATAGATCTTTGATTTTAACCTTTGATTTCTGATTGTATCGAGAGTGTTTTTGTCAAGTTTGATGCAATCCCCTTTTTTTCTTATCCAATCGCAACTTTCGCTCACTGAGTCTCCATATTGGGAGGATTTATCATATTTACCAGTAGGTTTGTTTCTAGCTAAAACTTGACTCGGAATGTCTCCAAGGCTTTCATAAATATTTGTTTTCTTCCTTTGTCTACTAATGGTTTTAACAGCTTTTTCACTCAGCTTCAACGTATGTATTGAATCACTTTCATCTGGGCAAGAATCATCAAACACATTAATTCCATCATACTTTTTACTCTTCCTTGATTGTTTTTTCATCATATGCCCTCTAACATCTTCATCAGGACTGAATAATTCTTGGTTTTTCTCATTGTGGCGTCCAAAATCTAGTTGATTTTGTTTCTTTTCTTTCTTTACCACAGAGTACATACAACTATTGTGATAATTTTCTGAGCTGTCAGAATAATTTCTTGCTTCAGATTTCAGTTTCCTAATGTTTGTATCTTTTATTGGTTTATAGGGTGAGCTATGATTTTCACTTTTCAATTTACCTTCCAAAATCAAATCCTTATACCCATTCACCATGATAGATGAGGTGCACAAAACTCCATAAGCTTTCCACTGATGTTCTTTCCTCGCGTACTCTTCAGCGGTCAAGAAGAAAATGTCATCAATCAAGTCTGGGTCCCCTCCAAAGGCCAGGAGGACTTCTAATACTTTGCATCTTCCCCACATCGCTGCTACATGGACTGGCGTGAGACCTTCATCTGATCGGACATTTGGGTCTCCGCCGTTTCTCAACACTTGATGGGTGACTCTACATGTTAAATCTTCATTCTCTAAGCCTGCCAATAAGTGTAGAGGAGCTATTCCCAATTCAGGCACTAGCAGGTTAGGATTGGCCTTCTTACTTTCCAATAAATGTGTCACTTCAGCGAGATTTTCAGCCATAATGTTATCCACCAACAAATTTGCATAGTAAAAGTCCCTACTGAGCTCTCCAAAAGTGACGTTTTCCTCATTTTGTTTGAATTTCATTACAAAGCAGTTTGAATTGAGCTCAGGTTATGTTAAACAAACCTAAGGGGATGTAAATGTAAATATGATCAAATTTTGGAAGTAGGTATGTAAACAGATGTTTTTTTTCTATGTGTTAACTTCACCACAGAATTTTGGGAATTAGGTTTTTTTTCAGGGTGGTAGCTGGGCAGATCATGGTGGAACTTGCACCTATAGTATGGGCTGCACCACTTCACATGAAAATTTGTGAATTTGTGCCAGTCCATGAAGATTGTCATTATAGCAACAGCCAGTGCTACATTTTTAATTCATTAGACTAAAAATATTGTATTTTTATTTGGGATTGAAGTCTTTGTTCCAGAATTTACTTGTTTATGCAAAATCATTAATTCAATTATTTCCTTGATTGAAAAAAAACATATTTTTATTTGATTTTATGCACATTCTAAATTAACAAATTGTCAAACTCCTAGAAGATACGTTTCAATATAATTCACGGCTCAAAGAAAATGCATTTTGGATTTTATAACATAGATCATGACCAATTAACTGAATATTTAGGTAAAGGCATCAACTCATTGAATTGTAGGTATTATTTATACTAATTAAGCCTTGCTATTGATGTAATCGATACCACGATGAGTTTATAATGTGTTGATAAATTGGAAAAATTTGCATCTCAATACATGACAAATCTCAAACTGATTTGGTTGATGCGTTTTCAATGGCCAACCAACCCCACATTAATTGAGGTAATTATTCTTGCATTAATTTACATATCGACAACATGAACACAAAATAGTGGCTTCGCTCTAAAAGGTCCCTCCCCTTGAATTTGACTTTGTATAAAATTAAATTTACCAATTAAACCCAACTGGAAAGTCGCAGACGAAGCTATAAAAATTATTGCATTAAATAATTGCATAACCAAGTACTTTTCTTTTAAAAAGAATAGAGTTCAGCTAGCTCACCTGAGAAAATTAGTCCAATGCTCTATAAATTGGCCCCTGGACTCTAAAATTAGTCCAATGCTCTATAAATTGATCCTTGGACTCTAAAATTAGTCCAATGCTCTATAAATTGGCCCCTGGACTCAAAAATTAGTCCAATGCACTATAAATTGGCGCCTGGACTCTAAAACTAGTCCAATACTCAATAAATTTGACCCTGGTTTTCAGATAAGTTAGCTGAACTTTATTCTTACTCCCCATTTGGCTTTCCTCTAAAATATAAGCCAAACTATTGATTAGTCTAAGTGTATATACCATATCTTATTTTGTTACAGCACCCAATGTTTTATTTTCAATAATTAAATCATTTACTCTATCAGCAGCTTTATTTTTAGTGTTTATCTTTTAAACACTTCAAGTGTGAAGTAACAAAAGCAGCGATAATCTGAAATGAAATTTTAAGCTCTAATTATCTTGATTAATTAATTTGAATCGAGCCAACAAGACAAGAAGCTATCAATTAACACTCATTACCTTCAGTCATTAGACGCTCGGTAATTAGAGACTAAGACAACAGTGAGAAAAGCTTTGATATCAATTTGTAATTTTGTTGAGTGATTATTTTAAATTTTAAAAATCAAGTCATTATAGAGAAGAAATTAAAGAATAATCTGCAATAATAATCTGTAAAACATAATAATATTTTTATTTGTATTCACTTAAAATTTCATTAATGTTATTTAACTACTATAATGTTTTAAAAATAATAATCTGTAAAACATAATAATATTTGTTATTTGTATTCACTTAAAATTTCATTAATGTTATTTAACTACTAAAATGATTTTAAAATGCCCTTCAAAATGAAATATTTAGTCAGCTAGCTTATTTCTGAGCTTTGTAGAGGTGATAGAAGGTTGTTGGTTAATATTGAGAAAAATCAGTAGTTTTATATGATGCTTCTAAACTGAGCGACTGAGTCTAGCTGTCCTTGATCACTGTTTTTGTTGTTGTTTATATATACAGGGTGGTAAAAAAGTCCCAGGACAGTTAAATATTTTAAAAAATAATGTAGATAGAGCTACAATACTTGGTACAAAGTTACAGGGCATAAAATTCTATTTTAACGCATATTCAGTGATCCAATAACTCTTCAGGGGGACGGCCCACAAGGAGTCGGATGAAAATCTTAAAAGGAAGCATAGGTCAATATGTACATCAAATTAAAGGTCTTTTTTAGTAGAATACAATGCCACAAACCGCACTTCAAAAGGTTGATCCTGAGTAAAAAATGGCAGATGTTCAAAGATTTCTTGAATCCGCCATTTTGAATCTTTGAACGACTGCCATTTTTTACTCAGGCATTCTTTTGAGCTTGAATTTACGGCATCGTAATCTACTAGTGAAGACCTTTAATTTGATGTGCATATCGACCTATGCTTCCGTTTAAGATTTTCTTCCGACTCCTTGTGGGCCGTCCCCCTGAAGAGTTATTGGATCACTGAATATGCGTTAAAATAGAGTTTTATGCCCTGTAACTTTGTACCAAGTATCGTAGCTCTATCTGCATTATTTTTTAAAATATTTAACTGTCCTGGGACTTTTTTACCACCCTGTATATATATCATAATGTTCATCATAATGTGATGTGTTATATCAT